CATCTCTGTTGCCGTCTGATTCCTGCGGTCGTCTGGATGAAGGCACCGCCTCAGCAGCAGCGTCGCCAGTCCCACTGTCGGTGCCGGAGTCCTGCGGATGGCTGGATGACTGTATCGTCTCAGCTGAGGCATCACCATTCGTACTGCCGCTGCCTGAATCCTGTGCGCCAGCGCGCGGCCAGCGAAGATGGTGACGCAGTTTCAGTAACATCATGAAACGTTGATAGCCAGCAAGTCGCAAGCGAAGATCTGAGGAGAAACTCTCTCGCTAGGTTGCATGTGGTAGATATGTAAGAAGCACGAGGCTTGGCCAGCATTTTATCTAAACACACTGCGCATAGCGGCATGTCGTGGTGAGAATTGACGGCGTGAAATGCAACCGGGCCCAGTGTAATAATTTCGTAATTCAGGGTAGCATAAAACGTGTCATTCTTACAGGATGTTATTGATGACACCTTAAGGCACTTATACATTAGTTGATAAATATGGTGATAAAGACACACCTGGCAATATGGCGGTAAACACACGCGTGCCCACACACGCTCTCTAAGCTGCAAAGTTCTGGCACAGAGCCCTGCTGCTAGAACAAATATCCACGAAACTTGTAACGCCAGTTCCACTTTAATGGCGACAACAATTTGCTATGCTTATCGAAGTCTGCCTAGATTTTATGCCCTAAAGCTGCCCTAAAGATGCCCTAAAGCTGCAAAATGAAGTAGGATCTACACATCCACAGTCACGAGCTGGTTATTCCTCTAAGCACCATTGCTTGCAGTAGACCAAGAAGGTGTGCAGGTCACCCTGGCTAACCACGTGGATGTTATTTCTGCGCTGCACTACAGAAACAAGACTTGATAGGAATTCTGGAATTTATGTTTCGGAAAGTCCATACCTTGATCAGGAATGGTGTTGAATGACCGAGAGAACACAGTTGATATAGGGAGAGGAGTGATGCAAAAACGTACCATAAAGGCTTAGTAAACCTACTTGTAACGCTAGTAGGAAATAGTGGTTGGGATTTCGGTGATGATTTTTAGGAATGGGTTTGCTCCCCACGCAGGAGCTCGCGCTATTCCGCCGACTTGACTTGATACTGTTGTCAAAACTTGGTGCTGTGCCCAACGCGGGCTTGCGACTAGCCGATTTGAAGGTGACAACATTCTATTGTTTCACTATTCAAACCGGATTCATTTTTATTATTTTTATTTTGTTGTTTGTTGAGTGGTTTGCTTTGATTTACGTGCTGACTGTGCTTTATCCATGTTATAAACTGATGTGTCTGGTAGGGCCACCGCAAATAACGTCGCTGGTCCCCCCACAGCTTCCTCCACCAACATATCCTCGAACTCGGTCCGACCCCTCCATGCGCCACGAGTCTCAGCTAAAGAACGTCCTCCCAGCTTCCTCTCCGGATTACGTACGACGCTGCTTTCCCTACAGCATCATTGACTAGTGGAACAACTTGCCCCCAACTGTGCTGCAGTCTCCGCCACGGCTGACGTCCCTCCAGTCGTTCAAGGGCAAGGTGTATCAGCACCTACGACAAAGCCGCTGGTATTGGGCTACAGACTCGCTGTAACACCCCATATATCCACGATCAACTCCCTCCCCCTCACTTATCTATTGACATGTGTTTCGTAATCCCGTCCATGGTGCGCTGGATAGCGCTAACGCCGAGACCCTAGGTCGGCATTGCTAGTCCCGCATCCCCGGCACAGGCTCCTTGAGAGCCCCTACTAGTACATTGTCTGTCTTTCTCCTTTGTTGTCTCGATCATTATTTTCTTTTGTCTTCTTCTTCTCCTCTCTTTGTTATGGTCTATCAGTAGGAGGTGCATTCTGTCAAAAAATGTTAGGGTGGGGTCTATTTGATCGCGGGTTTTTAGTGGTTTCCATCTCATGTTTTTCCATGTGTGAGACTGCATTCACTATTTTTCTCTTTCTTTTTTCTTCTTTTTAGAAAATTAGGTGTTTCTCGAATACCTTCTTTTGCTGTTGCTTTATACCTTCTTTTTGATGGTTTCTGTTGCTCATTCGGACTTAGGCAATATTGTTATACTTCTCAATCCGTTGCTCCCAAAAATGCCAACTTGGTCCGGTATACCTTATCCTTGGTCATATACATACAATTATCCCTTCACTGTTAGTGCGGGGTCCCATTTCGAAAAAGAGTCGTATTTTAGAGGTTCTGTGACAAGTATGTGCATAGTTCGAAACTCCACCCTCCCCCCCCCCCACACACACAATGATCGCCTCTTTGCTTTGTCACACCACAACCATTCAAACGCGGTGAACCTCTCGATAGGCGATTCGCCTTTGGGTCATCCTAATAAAGTTATTAGGAAACACACACCATGGATACACAAACGCACGTGTACATACCGGTATGCAGATAGATGGAGAAACAGAGGAAACTGCGTGCATCACACTTTAGACGAACAAGCGGTGAAGAAGCATGAACGGTTTGATTTCGCGTTGAATTCTGGAGTAAAGTAAATTAATTATTCCCGTAGCTATGCAGAAGACGTTACTTCAGTAACGTCTGTCGCTAGCCAGTGTCCACACTGCAATCCCGTTTCATCAAGGTGTGTATTTGTGCCGTCGGCATGCCTGGCGCTATCCTGTACCTGTCCCGTCCCGTATCATCAAAGACAGCTGGCCACAATCGACATTAAAATAGTGCTTTCAAATGCAAGATCATATCGTGAAGAAACTATTACTTGGAAGAATGGGTATGTAAGAAGTGTATCGGGGGAATGCATGCAGCGCAGGGCGATAGTGCGGGTTCGAATCCTAGGTTATGTCTTGAAAAAAAGGAGAAATGAAAAATTTATAACATCCCCATGCTTTTTTTGTCATGTCCCTATACTGTTTGTCATGTGGTAGACGCGGTGTGGTGTTACCCTCGAATGCAAAGAGAAAGTTTATTTCTTTCGCTAATGGCTCTATGCTTTTTTGCCTAGCTCATCATGAATGTTGTTCGAGCAGATGGAAACGGTTTGCAATACAATGATGTAGCAGATCAGTTCGTTGTGGTATGGTTGGGAGTTGTAGCCATTTTTAATTTTCTGTTTTTAGAGTTCGTATCGGAGCAGCCGTTCTGTAATTCAAAGTGAGTCGTCATGGTCAACGTAAAACACTATTTACATACACAAGCTCGGCGAGCAAAAGTCTCTCTGTCCCATAAGCTGCCACATACATGAACCAACTAAATACAAAACCATGCACTTAACACGAGCTTACTGTTACATGTACTTGCACGCGTTGCTCTTTTCACGAACCCAGGCAAAGGGATTGGTCTATTAATAATTATAACCAAGAGTAAGAAGTGATTTGGCTTTTTTTTAAACATTTGGCATTTTTTAAAGCGCTTGGGAACGATGGACATTGCAGCAGTCTTAATGTGAGTGATAGTCTGGACAAGTTTGGGAAGATCTGCAGCGAGTGCCATCCCGAGCATTATGTTAGCATTACGAAAGCATAGACAGGATGCGTATCACAGGAGACCCAAGTTGCTGAAGACCAGTAGTCTTTGCTTATAACAGGCAGAAAAACTAAATCTGCAGCCTCTTTTGCCGTCGGACAGGATGCGTATTATAGGAGACTGTAAAGTTATGTAAAGTGCTCCACAGGCAACCAAGCATTCGACAGTCAGCAACAGTTAAGCACAAGCACACTATCAAGGTAAGGACATTTTTGTATTATTGTATTGTATCGTTTTGTATGGAATGTAATTTTACCTCATTGGCTAAACAGGTCAATGTATTACTACAAAAAGGCCAGAAAATCCGATTATAAGGAGATAAAAAGGAAAAGAAGGAGCCAACCAAAAGTGGATGAAGTGAGAGAAAAATAACAATCCGCAATAAATTGAAAACTTTGCAAATACCTTTACCTAACTCATATTCAAACAGATTGAAACGTTTTTGCGATACAATATTGTACAAATGAAAAACGTCTTGTGTTCAACATGCAGTTGTGTAATCTGTCTACATGATACTACTTTATCTTGATAATAATGGCAATTGTCGTTTCCTCACACAAGCAACACCTTTATCGGAGTGAGAAATGGAGTTTACATTGTACATAAAAACTTGTTATGATTCTTTTCTTTTCTCTGTTTATTCTTTTACCAGGCGTGATCCATCCCCTGGATTTATCAAAATGGGTGCATTATTATTTTTCTGTTTATTAGCTTGTTTTCTTTACACTTCTTTGTGCGAATTTCGTATCAGATCTATTGAAAAAGTTCCTAAGTTTTGGTTGATGAAGTTGACATGTACATTGTACATCAGTCCAAACACGGATAATTTATAATTTACAATCTCTTTTCATCTTGTTTTATATTTCTAAACACCTACCGGTACTTTTACCCATTCTACTTCCCCATAGCTAGATCTAGCTTTGCTTTACATTTCTGTTCCTTTTTCCTGGTGCGTGCTTGTGGCATTGAAGCTGAGACCTTTGGTCGGTGGAGCCCCTGGTACCTCACCATCACTGCTCCCCAGTGCAGCCCCTGCTCAGCAGCTGTTTGTTTTTGTCCTCATAATAAAAAAGCAAAAAACAAAAAAAAACTGGCTTCGCAGACAATAATTCTTACCATAGGACCGTGCACACGTAGACTACACTAAATGAAGCATGTCCAGTCCGGCGGCTCAATGAAATCCAGTCGCGGCACTCAAGTTTGCGCCTTGCACCATTTCGAATCCCAGTGTCCGCAGGTCTAGGGCTGCGCAACGCCCGGCGCGTACACGAGTGCATCGACTGAATTTCACTGTATCGTCGCCAGTTAAAGCACACTAGGTAGCAAGAAAGGAAATTTGAGTACGATCATGCACACATGTGCACATTCCAATTTTGAAATCCTATTTCAAATGCTTTGCTGCTGTTTACTATGCATGTGAATGAAACTGTTAAAAGAACGTATATACCAACTATGCAGTCATAGGGAACAGACCATCAAGATATGCCGTATACATGTAATAGACTATCAACATATATTATTGATATGTATGTAGTCAGTAGCAGGAAAACCTAGATACATATACATGTCATGTGGATATGCAGTGAGAGACAGGCAGAGACAGGCAGAGACAGGCAGTGAGAGACAGGCAGAGCCAGGCAGAGCCAGGCAGTGAGAGACAGGCAGAGCCAGGCAGAGCCAGGCAGTGAGAGACAGGCAGAGACAGGCAGAGACAGGCAGAGCCAGGCAGTGAGAGACAGGCAGAGCGAACCAGATACATGTCATGTAGATGAGCAGTGAGAGACACACAGAAAGAGGGAAACAGACATAGAGGGACACAGCCAGCGACATACAGCGATAGACGAGGGAGAGAGAAAGACAGACAGACAGATAGGCCATGTCGCTGTCCATCCGTCTGTCTGAGACAGGCGAGGAAAGGAAGACAACAGCAATTGAAAAGGGGTTTTCAGAGGACAAGAATTTTAGAAGCAAAGAGGAATGTCTAGTACATTGATGAAGACTAAACTGTTTGGAGCAAGCTTTGTTCTTTGTTCATCCGATATTATCGCACATTACTCCGATTCTGGAACAGTAACTTTCTGACCGAACTATTTTCCAGCAAAGAGACATCTACTCATTTCCCACATAGAAGAATTGTACGAAAGCACCTGGAATGCTTCTCTGCGGTCGTACATCACGAAGCAAAGAGGAATGTATCGTACATTGATTAACAAAACTGTTTAGAACAAGCTTTGTTCTTGGTACATCCGATATTATCGCACATTACCGATTCTTGTACAATACATTTCTGACCGGATTATTTTCCAACACAGAGACACCTCCTCCTTTTCCATATGGAAGAATTGTACGAAAGCACCTGGAATGTGATCTATGCGCCCCGTAGCCATAACAACGGCCCTGATACCATCATGCTCGAGAACGGAGGCTCGCGCCAGCTTTGGCACTTGTCCCATACTGATCCATCGCCGATATAGCTCGGTGATCGCTTCTCTGCAGTCGTACATCACGTGGTCAATTAGTTCAGACTGCTCCACAAGGAGAAACAACAGGGCTGCATTCGCAGTGAACAAAACAGCCGGCTGGTTCGCTTGATCGGCAAATAGATCGGCGATGACGTCAGTCGGAGCACACCGCCAAAGTGGCCGGGCGTTTTCAGTGGCGTAGAGATCGCCAATTAGGCTCTCAGTCGATTCCCAGCACTCAGGCGAAGGCACCAGATAAATTTGACTGACTTCATTGGCTTTTCCTCTAGACACCTTCCTCATCGTCAATGAATTATTGATACTGTGACCGCTTTCAAGTGTGCCCTGAGCGCCATCGCCGCGCTTGGACTCCAAACCTTCACAGTGGGACGCATTGCTGGTCTCCAATGAGTCACTACGTTCACTGCCATCAGGTGTGCCATGAGCGTCATTGCCCACTCGTTCTTCAGTAGCCGGCCCTGGCCCGGTGATGGAGCCTTCACAGCTGGACAAATTGCTGGTCTCCAATGAATCACTATGGTCCCCGCCATCAGATGTGCTATGAGCGTCATTGTCCATTCGTTCTTCAGTAGCCGGCCCTGGCCCGGTGATGGAGCCTTCACAGCTGGACATATTGCTGGTTTTCAATGGATTACTATACACACCGCTATCAGGTGTGCCACGAGCGTCATTGCCCACTCGTCCTTCAGTAGCCGGCTCGGTGCCTTGACAGCCGTCCAGGTCCAAGGGGGGAATCCGGTAGACGAAATAGCCACCCTTTGAGCTAGCTTGGACACCAGTGGTATCCGTTACAGGACACTTCTCTTCTACCAGTAGGCGGGCGTGATCCGAGCGGCCAATCTTGCTCGTCCTCTTCTTTCTCTCCGCTCCGAAAAATATCTGCTGTTGGCTGGATGATGGCGCCGTCTCAACTGAAGCATCATCTCTGTTGCCGTCTGATTCCTGCGGTCGTCTGGATGAAGGCACCGTCTCAGCTGCAGCGTCGCCAGTCCCACTGTCGGTGCCGGAGTCCTGCGGATGGCTGGATGACTGTATCGTCTCAGCTGAGGCATCACCATTCGTACTGTCGCTGCCTGAATCCTGTGCGCCAGCGCGCGGCCAGCGAAGACGGCGACGCAGTTTCAGTAACATCATGAAACGTTGATAGCAAGCAAGTCGCAAGCGAAGATCTGAGGAGATACTCTCTCGCTAGGTTGCGTGTGGTAGATATGTAAGAAGCACGAGGCTTGGCCAGCATTTTATCTAAACACACTGCGCATAGCGGTATGCCGTGGTGAGAATTGACGGCGTTTCCGGCAGAGGCGAAAGGCAACGGGCCCAGTGTGATAATTTCGTAATACAGGGTAGCATAACACGTGTCATTCTTACTGGATGTTATTGATGACACCTTAAGGCACTAAAACATTAGTTGATAAATATGATGGTAAAGACACACCTGGCAATATGGCGGTAAACCGCACACACGCCTGCCCACACACGCTCTCTAAGCTGCAAAGTTCGGGCACAGAGCTCTCCTTCTCTGTGTTTACCGTCATATTGCCAGGTGTGTCTTTACCACCATATTATTTATCAACCATAAGCACAGCTGCAGTGATGTCTTCAACTAACTTCACTCTCACTAATACATGTACATTAGTCATAGAACAAATATCCACGAAACTTGTAACGCCAGTTCCACTTTAATGGCGACAACAATTTGCTTTGCTTATCGAAGTCTGCCTAGATTTTATGACCCTGAGCTGCAAAGTGAAGTAGGATCTACACATCCACAGTCACGACCTGGTTATTCCTCTCAGCACCATTGCTTGCAGTAGACCAATTTCAAAAATAAAAAAAGGTGTCCAGGTCACCCTGGCTAACCACGTGGATGTTATTTCTGCGCTGCACTACAGAAACAAGACTCGATAGGAATTCTGGAATTTATGTTTTGGAAAGTCCAAACCTTGATCAGGAATGGTGTTGAATGACCTAGAGAACACAGTTGATAGGGGAGAGGAGTGATGCAAAACGTGCCATAAAGGCTTAGTTAACCTACTTGTAACGATAGTGGGAAATAGTGGTTGGGATTTCGGGGATGATTTTTAGGAATGGGTTTGCTCCCCACGCAGGAGCTCGCGCTATTCCGCAGACTTGACTTGATACTGTTGTCAACACTTGGTGCTGTGCCCAACGCGGGCTTGCGACTAGACGATTTGAAGGTGACAACATTCTGAGTGACCGAGGGTCCTCGACGTCCGTTCTCACCGTCCAGGAGCGACACTGACTCACGCTGCTATGTGCTATTCCCGAGGTGTTTGTCGCGCTGGAAACGGAGCGTCGCTATAAGTTTGTACCACTGGTGATGTTTGTGCCTGGATAGCAATATGTGGTGCTCTTCAGCCTACTCAAGCTCAACTGATGAGGGGTGAACTCCCCGAAACACTGTATTGAGCAGGGAGTGGTGCTTTCTAGCAGGTTTGCCGCGTCGAAGGCTCGATGGACTTCTCGTGTGGTCTGGATGGCAGTCGTGAGTCAGTCAAGCGTCAATTAGGCGGAATAGCGCTAGCTCCAGTGTCCAGTGAGGGGAGCAAACCCATTCCTTGTAACGGTAGGATCGGAAAAAGGCAGAATCAGATACTATTAAAAGTTAACATAGAAAGTAGAAACTGAAGTAGAGAAGGACAGAACGATAGAGATGCACAGATAGCGTGAGAGAAAAGAGAGAGGATATAAAAATACCGAAAACTACTGTATTGTATTGTATTGTACATGTATTGTATTTCATTATTTTTTGGGCATTCCGTCTTACAAACAAGGAAACAAAAGTTCTTTTCACATGGACTGTTTTATTAAATTATTTTGTTTCACTATTCAAACCGGATCCATTTTTATTATTTTTGTTTTGTTGTCTGTTGAGTGGTTTGCTTTGATTTACCGTGGAAACGTGCTGACTGTGCTTTATCCATGTTATAAACTGATGTGTCTGGCAGGGCCACCGCAAGTAACGTCGCTGGTCCCCCCACAGCTTCCTCCACCAACATATCCTTGAACTCGGTCCGACCACTCCGTGCGCCACGAGTCTCAGCTAAAGAACGTCCTCCCAGCTTCCTCTCCGGATTACGTGCGACGCTGCTTTCCCTACAGCATCATTGACGAGTGGAACAACTTGCCCTCAACTGTGCTGCAGTCTCGGCCACGCCTGACGTCCCTCCAGTCGTTCAAGGGCAAGGTGTATCAGCACCTACGCCAAAGCCGCTGATATTGGGCTACAGACTCGCTGTAACACCCCATATATCGACAATCAACTCCCTCCCTCTCACTTATCTATTGACATGTGTTTCGTAATTCCGTCCATGGTGCGCTGGATAGCGCTAACGCCGAGACCCTAGGTCGGCATTGCTAGTCCCGCCTCACCGGCACAGGCTCCCTGAGAGCCCCTACTAGTACATTGTCTGTCTTTCTCCTTTGTTGTCTCGATCATTGTTTTCTTTTGTCTTCTTCTTCTTCTCCTCTCTTTGTTATGGTCTATCAGTAGGAGGTGCATTCTGTAAAAAAATGTTAGGGTGGGGTCTATTTGATCGCGGCTTTTTCGTGGTTTCCATCTCATGTTTTTCAATGTGTGAGACTGCATTCACTATTTTTCTCTTTCTTTTTTCTTCTTTTTAGAAAATTGGGTGTTTCTCGAATACCTTCTTTTGCTGTTGCTTTATACCTTCTTTTTGATGGTTTCTGTTGCTCATTCGGACTTATTCAATATTGTTATACTTCCCAATCCGTTGCTCCCAAAAATGCCAACTTTGTCCGGTATACCTTATCCTTGGTCATATACATACAATTATCCCTTCACTGTTACTGCGGGGTCCCATTTCGAAAAAGAGTCGTATTTTAGAGGTTCTGTGACAAGTATGTGCATAGTTCGAAACTCCACCCTCCCCCCCCCCCACACACACAATGATCGCCTCTTTGCTTTGTCACACCACAACCATTCAAACGCGGTGAACCTCTCGATAGGCGATTCGCCTTTGGGTCATCCTAATAAAGTTATTAGGAAACACACACCATGGATACACAAACGCACGTGTACATACCGGTATGCAGATAGATGGAGAAACAGAGGAAACTGCGTGCATCTCACTTTAGACGAACAAGCAGTGAAGAAGCATGATCGGTTTGATTTCGCGTTGAATTCTGGAGTAAAGTAAATTAATTATTCCCGTAGCTATGCAGAAGACGTTACCTCAGTAACATCT